GTGAAAAGCATCAATAAAACTTTCCTGAAACAGGAGGAGATATCAAGTGTGTTGTGTCTGCTCAAGGACTCTTTGAAGCATTCTATCCTACCAACATAAACTTATTTCTCGTCAATATTTTATACAAGGGTAGATGTGTGCACTGCCACTGGGCAGACTATGCACAAGTGTTTTTACTAACCTTTGGAGCCGATTAATGTAAGACTCTGAACCTTTATACATATATGTAAATCGAAGATGAGTTATTGGAGGTAAAATCAGCATTAGGCTCAAGCAAAATAAAGCTACATGTAAACCATAACTAAAAACACTTATTTCTGTCTGTGTTGCTGTTGGAAAGTTTCCCTCACTTTCTGTCTGGTAAAATGTTGTCAGCAGGACAGGAAGTAAGGGCAAATATCTCCTATAGAGATAGCAGTAAAAACCTGACAGGAGTTCTAACCCTTCTCCACTCTCCCTAAAGATAAGGAAAAAAATTTGTCTGGACATTAAGTCTACCAATTGCCATATTTTTTAATTTTTTTCATACAATAGAGTTTTTACTTTTTTCTCATTCTTTGTTACATCTCAGTGGTGCTGATCTTCAGCAGAATCTTTGCAGCCTCCTCCTGTCTGCATGCACTCCAGCCACTGCTCCATCCTTGCTCTGGGTGGGTTTCCTGATGTTCATGACAGTGCACCATGCCTGTGTAATGTGTGTTGAAATGGCCACTTGTAGTCTCCATTGGAAGCCTGTCTAGCAGGGTGACAAAGCAGAACCGGGAGGCAGTGCATTGTCACCTATAACAGGAAGAAGAACAAGAACTTTCATAGCAGGATCACCAGTGATTATATATACATTTATATATACTGAAAATACATTTTGAAATTATTTGTTGAAAAGTATGCGATTTTTTAGTGACTGGGTTTGATATGTGCTTTAAAGTGTAACTCCAGCCAAACCAATATCCAGCCCTATTCAGGGGTGTATCTACCGCAAGGCAAACTAGGTATTTGCCTAGGGAGGCAGTTTCCAGAGGGGTGGTAAAAAACGCTGCCCCAAACCAATCAGGCGGACCGGGCCGAACTTGCCTTTGGGCATACTGGGCACTTGCCCGGTGGGCCAAGGCTGGGCGGCACAGAATCAGACAGCGGCGCCTGCCTAATGAGGTAAACTAGGCGGCCGCAGTGCCCTAAGAGCTGTTGCCTAATCAGAGAGCTGCCCGGGGAGGGGAGGGTCCAGTCAGATGCGGTCGAGCTGGCTTTGCACAGGAGGTGGGGGAGAAGCAGCGGGTGGCTCTGGGCTGGCCATAGCATGTGATCTGATGGTGGGATGTCCCAGAAGCAGACTGGGGACTGCAATGTATCCTGTTGGTACTGATGGCACTTGGGCTGCAGGTAAGAGAAGCAGCACATGTATGCAGGGAAAGGGACTCTGCACAGTCCTCCTGAGACCCTGCACAGCCCACCATAGACCCCACACAGCCCACCATAAACCCTGCACAGCTCTCCTGAGACCCCGGACAGCACACCTGAGACCATGCACAGCTCTCCTGAGACCCCATGTGCGCTGTATCCAGTGACTGACAGGTTGCACAAAATGTCCTATACAGGATGGGGTGGGGCAAATTTAGATTGAGGGGGGGTGTCCGAGTTCAATCTTGCCTAGGGCAGCACAAAACCAAAATACACCACTGGCCCTATTGCTAATCACTCCTACATGTTTCTCTCTTCAGGCTACTAGAATAGCTTGCGTCTGTGTGATAACTGAAGGCTGAGTCTCAGCAAGGTGGGTGTACGGGACTCTAGTAAAGACTCACTGGCCTCATTGCTATTGGGCTTGTGTAGAGCAAATGTGACCCCCAATAGAGATAACCTTGTCCCCAGGCATAGTACTCACAGTTATTGTACCTCTTGCAATAATGTCAGTCAAGTCCTTGAATGCTGTTTTACAGGTTTATTATAAACACAACCGTGGTGGGTAGGTCTGAAATAGCCAACAGTAATACAAGCTTCTTACAGCTAGCAGTCCCTGCATGGAGCCCAAACTCAATATAGCAATTTATAAGTTAATTTATTGTTAATGTTATTAAACACATACCTATATGCCACAGAGGTAACAGGGATAAGCAGTAAAGGCATCTTAGGGTGTCTGCTTGTTACCCTGCAGGGGGCAAGAAGTAGCTGTCAGCTTCAAAGAAGTCTATGGACATTTTGCTGACAACCAGTTGCTGGCAGAGTAACATGCAAAAAGAAGCATGCCAGCCCTGATCAGTGGAGCAGAGGTATGTGTAATGGTATTACACAATCCTCACCCTTATCTAGAAAGCTTTACAACTTAGAGTTCTACTTTACATCAGATCGAAATCTTAACTTGATTACATTGAGTTAAACAATTGTCTTGTGTTTTTTTTTCGAATGCTTTCATCTCTTTTGTATCTCAGTGCTGCTGATCCCCTCCAACCACTTCCTGCCTGCATGCTGTCACGCCAGTGTCTTGCTCTAGATCAGCTTTCTGATATTGTCAGTGGTGGACCATGCATGCACAATGTGCGTCGGCACTAGTGCTTAATCACTCCCATACTTCCGTACATACGTATACGACCTGGAAATAAAGTGCTTAAAGTGATATTAAAGTGAAAGGATTTTAAGCTATATCAAGTACTGATGAAATCACTTACAATGAATGTTGCTTCTTAATGATTAAAAGTTTTAGCATCCTGCAGATTTGGCTGGTTCCCTGACTTCCTGTTTTAGAGTGATTCCTTTCTCAAGCAGAGTTGCTATTGAGTCACCCTTCTGCGTGTTAGTAAGTTGTAAGTGTCTTCACAAAGACACAGCAAATCAAGCTACTTCCCTCCTCCCTGACCACCTCTCCTCCAAGCTGGTAGCTAAACAGTTGCTGGAGCCTGCTCTGTGCTTTGTGATCTTGTACTGGACAGGAAGTTTAGGTAAGCTGAGCTAAAAGACTTGGAAGCAGCTGTTTACAAACATGATGATTGTAAGTGTTTGGGCAAAAATGTAAAGTAATACTGTTGGACAATGTATATTTGTTTGATTTGGATTCATTATTGAAAAGCAGTTTGAGAGTTTAAAACTACTTTAAAACCAAGATCATGGGTACTGTTTTTTTTCCAGCTAGCTCCTGGCTTGCACACCCAAGTGATCCAGTAGATCCGCCTGCTGAAAAGGGTGACGTCCCCCACTGCAGGCTATCGTGGGCTGGAACAGAGGGTGTCTCCCGTTGCACTAAGGCCTGGTTCACACCTGTACGTTTTGTAGCGCGTTCAACGCTCTACAAACGCTTTACAAAACGCTCAAACATGAAAATCCCATTGTTTTCTATGGGTCTGGTTCACACCTTGCCGTATTTCAGCCCGTCTGAACGCACTACAAAATGGCCTACACCTGAAAAGGCACATGAGCTTCTTTGCGGCGTTTTTGTAGCGCGTTTCTATTGGGATACAGCCAAGTAGCCCTCAGAACCACGCGTTTGTTGTGCGTTTTTTTTACAGCGGATCGTGGTAGAAATGCGTGACAAATGCGCACATTCGATACGCCTAGGTGTGAACAGAGCCAAAAGGGAGATCAGCACACTCGGGCTCCTCTGACAAGTACTGTTAATCAGCGCTAATTAGTTATTCTCCTACAGAGCAACATGGTCAGAAAGAGGTGGGGGAGGGTGGTGTGCTATCAACCATGCAAGCTCTACATCCAAAAGCACAGTTAAAACAGGATAAAGTGCTACATGTATTTTGTCCTCTGGGGGAAGGCTAAAGACAGTTTGTTTCAGATGAGACTTGTTTAACGGCAGAGTTTACCTTTGCGACCATGTTTCATACTACACCCATAGCCAGGGTGTAACATGACCATATTGCAAACCCACTGCCGCCCCACTTATCTGAATCATGGTGTTCTTTTCCCTGCAGGTTGCTGTTGTTTGAATCTGGCGCTGCTGTGTATAGCTCCACCCACACAGATATGTCATCCATTCACAGATCCTTTGATAGGATCTGTGAATGGAGAAAGTACAAGTCCCATCAGCCACTGCGACAGAGGGACTTGCAGATCTCTTTTCCTCCAGTCCGTTACTGAATGTCTGTACCGAGGTACTTACATGGAAGGGAGGAAGAGTCTGCAGGAGACAGCGTACTGTACCTGTGATCTACTCATCGTGGTTGCAATGCAATATATATATAATGCCCATTTTTCTTTTATGAAGTGTGCCTTTTTTATAATAATAGGTAGAATTTCCTTTTAAGTCTTAACCAGGGGTGACCACTGTGAACAATACAGGAGCACAATTAGGAGACCCCATTAAAGGAATTGACTGAACAAAGACCTTAATGAAAGCTGTAGCTTTCAGAAGATTGAAAACTTTTGAAATGCCATTTACACATTAAAGCTTATATGAGATGTTAGTCATTGGGTTGTAATGAGCACAGGTGCTGTTCGAGGATGAAAACTAACTACTAATCCTTGAAGGGGTTCTAAACCCTGTTTTTTGCCTATATCTACTGCTATGAAGCAGTAGATATAGGCAAAAAGTTTTTTTTTTTAAAACCCGCTTTAACAGCGGTTTAAACTTTCCTTGAAACTGCTCGGGCGGCTGCAAATCATCTTGGGGCGGGCGCATGCGCAGTTCGGATTCTCAGCTGGGAGACGAGCAGAGACGCAAGGTAAGTCTATGGACGCGTGCACCTGCATGCAGACACCGCTGGATAATACAGGCAGATAAGTAGCAAATAGTATTGATAAATCACTCTCTGTGTGCTAAAATTGCTAATAAAGAGTCATTTATGTTCCTCGTGTCACATTCTGTGTGTTTCCCGCAGTGATAATGCAATGTGTGTCTTAGTTTTGGAACATGAAGCCATCCAGCATTTTCTCCTTGAAGCCCGTGTGCCAGAACACCTGTTAACCATGACGAAGAAAGGAGAAGGAAGCGTGTGCGTTCCAACAGTGCGTTCCACGGTCTCCTCCAATCACAGACCGCTTCGTTTTCAACCAATCTAAAGGAAACGTTCGTGACGTGACCTTCCCCGGAAGCGGAAGTCTTTTGCTGCAGTGCAGGACGGAGGCCCCGGGGGCCCGCGGGGAAGATGCCAGTTGCCGTGATGGCGGAAAATCCGGTGTCATATCAGAGGCTTCTAGAACAATGCGAGGAACAGGAGCTGGAGGTGAGACGTGCTCCGTATGGCCTGCTCATAGGGGTCATAAGAGTGCTGCTCTGTGCACACGGCTGTCATGCAGTATTTCCCACTGTTAAGGTGGAGCAGGCTGTGAGAGCTCACAATAAGGGATCAGCCTTGTGTGATATAGATGTTAGGACGTTTAGTAAGGCGGTAAGAGAAGAGCTCAGTGACCCATATAACATCCTATGAGAATGAATCTGTCACCATGTGACTATGGTACACTGACACCTGGCTGGTTATAGGTCTGCACTTTGCACATACATTGTTCTGTACTGTGTGCTATACTTTATATTTCACTGGTCATCCCTCCCCGAATCAACGTGCTGATTATTTCAAAATAAAACCTTTGTGCTTCAATCACATCTTATTTTAGATCCACTGCTATCATTACTGGGTCTCTGTGCTTCTCTATGCAGTGCAGGCAGATCATGACTGGCTGGAGGGACCAGCAGGGTGCTGTGCGTAGCTTCCTGAAAACATCACCGCACCCTGTCTCCATACCTGTCTCAAGACTCCTCAGCCCTAAGGCTGGGCACACACCTTACAACCATCGCAAGACTTTTGTCTTGCGATGGTTGTAAGGTACTTAAAAAAAACGTACGATCTGCCTATCTTGCATAGGCAGATCGTACTTGCGATCGCAAGCCACGCCCCTGAGGGGCGGGCTTCCGATGACCGCAATGGCGAACGGGCAGTGTGCGCTTGCGCACACCGGCCCGTACGGCTGTTATCGTATGGACATGCCACAAACCCGCCGAACGTTGTACGATGCTCGGCGGGTTTTCGAACATGTCCGTAAGTTCAAAGTCGTGCGACCTTACAGTAGTAGAGGTCGCACGGCTTCCACACACCTTACGATAATCGTACGATCGCGGGATTTCCCGCGATTATCGTACGATTATCGTAAGGTGTGTGGGGACCTTAATGCAAACAATGGGCTGGTTGGGAGGAGCTATGTAGAGATCAAACTGTGTGCATTGGTGGTTGTCTAACTGGAGGAGTGTGCTATTCCTAGGCAGACTGCAGTTGCTGGCAGATCGCTCTAGGTTTATTTCCAGTATGTGTACCATTGAGGAAACATTTTATTCAGAGATGCAACAGAAAGAGAAAATCTCCTCCTCTTTGGAAGTTGTCCTCAGAAAAGGTGTCCCCATTAGAAGCTTTCTCCCTGTCTGTTGTTCAGGGGAGAACTGTAACCTTTTGGATTTCCTCATTTCTTTCTTGGTGACAATGGTCAGCAGTACAAACAGTGGGGTGAAGCTCGCTAACGAGAGGACAGCAATAACAATTTGACACGGGGTCTGTCCCTTCCCCACTCCTGCCTAGAGATGCATATTAAGTGTATTTTGACACATTTTTACAAAAACACAATTGGACTTGGTGATCGAAGTTAAAGGAGAACTATGGGGTCAGTGTTTTTCCCCATAGTTCTCCTTAGGGTAACGGGAGGACACAAACTAGCGTCCTCCCGTCACCCTAGGCTCAGTATATCACGAGCTACAGCTCGCGGTATACTGAGACGCCGGAGCGGATCCCGGCGTAGATGACGGGATCCGCCCAGCTGCGTGAGTGACAGCTGGCTCTGCCTATCTAGAGGCAGAGCCAGCTGTACCCGCCCCCCCCCCCGTCCGTTCTCCCAGTCAGCGCTGGCAGATCGGAGAGGGGAATCCAGCCCCTCCCCCTGTCACGGCAGAGAGCCGAACCTGGTATCTGTTCGCTCACCTCCCGATCTACTGAGCCGACCTGTGACAGTCTCATTGTCACAGGTCGGCTAGAACTATGAGGTGAGTGGAAATCACTCATCTCATAGTTCTCCTTTAAAGAACAACTCTGGATATATGAAATCTTAACCCTTGAGGTGAGGCTACCCCTGTACTGCAAGGGTTAAGTGTTCATTTTGTCTAGGGAGGTAAAATAACATAGATACTGACCTAAATCGTGGACCCAGCTGGCTGCTAGACCGGTTCATGCAGAGGTGGTATGTCCCTCGGCTTCCTCGCGTCCAATACAGTATATTAGATATGATGACTCACAAGGCTTTAGATAACCGGGGCACGAGGGGGTGCAAGGCTACAGGGATCGGTCTAGCAGCATGCCGGCTCCAAGGTTTGAGAGAGTGTCTCTGTTGTTTTGGCTCTCTAGACAAAACGAGAACTTAACCCTTTCAGTGTAGGGGTAGCCCCACTGCAAGGGTTAAGATTTTATTTGGCCGGAGTTCTACTTTAAATAAGACAAGTTGTGCCTGCATACTCCCTCGGGAGGTTAGAATAATTGACCCTAATCTGGAACACTGGATTCTAGTTCTGTGACATTTGAAGCAGTAGGGTGTGCTCCCTTTTATTGTTAGGCTACAAATCTGCAGTTTTTTTCATGTAGAATGAGGACGCATATACCATGCCAGTCATTTGTTCAAGTATATCCCCCTCATCTGTACAGACTTTTTGAATAAAGATCAACTCTATGTTGGGAAACAAAAAGTCAACTATTTCCATGGGGTGTACTTACTTTTTCATATGACTGTACCTCACCCTCTTGCTCTTGGATTTCCCCCACACGTTCTGTCATAAGGTCAGTTAGAAGGTTGAATCTTCCCAGCAGGGTCACAGAGAGCTATATCATCTTCGTTCATGGTCTAACCCTTCCCTAATCTATACACAACTAAAAAAAAGTTTCACCTGTACATACACTTTTTTTCTATCTGCAGACATAAAAGAAAGTAGTGTTCTTTAACAGATGTATCGAATTGTGGGGTTAAACAGGTGGTGCTGTTACTGTTATTCGTGAGTATTAAGTGTTGAGTCCCATTTAGGGCCCATTCACACCATATGCTCGGAGAAAAAGAAACAGCCATTGCAGCCCCATCGCAAGACAAGCTAATTTGCTTTGTCAGGTATGAGTACCATTCACACCACCACATTGTAATTGAATGTGGTGGTGTGCACTTAAGAAATAAAAAAGCACGGCATGCATTACCTTTTTCAGTGCAGTGGGAAGTGACATGGTACAACCGCCTTGCACCCCGCTGTGCCTGTAGAACTAAATGAAAGTGACATTGCAATAAAGTTAAAAAAAACAAAACGCAGTGCGATGTGCTGGGATCAATGCATCAGTAGTGTGCTGGGCACTGCATACCAGCTGCGGTGTGACTGGGCCCTTACCTTACAGCCTGTGTATTCAGATCAGCTCCCTCTGCCCTCTTCACATTGTTCCGCTTCTTTATCTCTTTGTGTGTCCAGGCTCCTGGAGGTGTGGCCGCTCCTCACATTTATAGTCAGCTGCTGGCTCTGTATCTTTTGCACAATGACATGTAAGTTGTTCAGTCTTCATCATTTTTCTTTATTTTAGCATTATTGGCATTTCCATGTAATGCTTTGTCTCGTTATCTAGGAACAATGGTCGTTACCTGTGGAAAAGGATCCCACCGCCTATTAAATCTGTAAGTATTCACTGTTTGGGTTTGCTTAACATGAACATTTTACACAAATTAGTTCCTGTGTGTGTCATGAGGTAATGTAACAAGAGAAAACGACTTATTGGCAAACGTACAAAAACTAATCTATTGTGGGGTCCCCTGTTGGCCACCCAGCTGTAAGGGAACCTGTGACAATAGAAATGTAAGAGCTACCATTATTTACAATGGTGCATACAGTGAAGAGAGAGGAGGGAGATCAGCCAACATGCGTTCGTAGCCCTCATTCTCTGGCCGCTGTGAAGCTAATCAAGCATTTCACTGCTATCACTGGGGGGGCTCACAAACCCCTTATGTGATAGCACACTGAAGGTAACAGGTTCTCTTTAAGGTGACATCAGACCCCTAGTGTAACCTTTCGACTCCAAAGAAGCTATTTAAGCACACATTGCACTTGAATAGCTTCTTCCCTTCCTTCTCTAGCCAGGTAATGACAGCTAAGACATCCTTGACCAACATGCTTTTAAAAGTGTAGTAAAGCGAAACCTTTTTTTGTCTTTACTTCTCTTTTGGGTCACAGGTCTCAGCATATAGTTGGTTACAGCTGTTATATACTGACCGCTCAGAGCCACGCTCTGACGGAATCCTCCTGGCTGCATGATTGACAGCTGGCTATGCCTCTCAGTGCCCGCCCCCTCCCCTGTCTGTCTTTCCAGTCAGCGTTGATGCAACAGAGAAGGGAGGGGGGTAATCCCTGTGGGTGGTGACTGATAGTCACTGCTCTCTGTAGGGAGAAGGAGGTGAGATGAGCGATTCATGACTGCTCAGCTCTTGGAATAGAGCTGGTGTGTGACTGCCACAGTGTCCACACTGGCTCCAAGGATTGGGAAGAGTATATCTTACTCTCTCAATACTTGTCTTTGAAGACAGTTCCACCATTCTGAAGAGAGCTTTATGGTCATTATAAGATATTTTGCTGATGCTTTGGGGGAAACACCATCTAATAGAAGTGTATGTCAGAAAAAGAGCGTGCGTGCGTTATTTGGGCACACCTTTGTATTCATACATGTATATTTTCTGTAGTGATTCAACGCATTATGATTTTGTTTTCCTGCCTTCCTTATTTCTTAATGACCCCTGTCTGCTGCTCAGCAGTAGCATTGTAACAGTAGAGGTCATAGCCTCTAATTACAGGTTCATCTGATTTAAGCATAACATTTTGAAAGTATGATCAATCTAGGCCAGATATTTACAAAGCTGTCTTAGTTTGCTGTCCATGTTTACAGACAGGGGAGTTGCGCACACCTTGGCAAGTCCTTTGATAAATGAGCGACAGATGGCTTTATGCTACATAACAGCCTGAATCTGTTCTTGGCTTTCTTGATAAAATCTCTTCCTTGCGTTTCCTGCAAATCCTGCATTGCTCTGCTTTGGGGCGGCAAGCTTGTGTAATGGGTATTTAAGTCGTTTAATCTGAAATAAAGCATCTGCTGCTTATTACAATGTATGTCTACGCTTTTTACTGTGCATCAACCCAGCTCTGTTATTTTATATAGAGCTTGCATATTTCATTGTAGAATAGTTGGCTTCCAGCATTTGACTCTAGGCTTCAGCTGGATTCATTGAGCCATATTGTTTTATTTACCATATACAAATGGTTTTTAAGGGGTTCCCTTTTTAATGTAAAAGTGGGTGTGTGATTCAAGATCATTCCACAACATTGTCATTTCAGTTGAAAATAAGATATCACTAGGAATACAGTTGAATGCAAAAGCTATTGGCATATCCATTTAATTCTGTACACACAGTTATATTTGAACTTGGTCCTCTGCTGTAGTATAAAAAATGGTGGAGGTCATAAAGTAACCCAGTGTTTCTCAGTCACTCAGTCACTGCACCCTAATGATCAGAGTCCCCTCTTTCACATCAGAGTCCTCAGTCTTCTGTCACATCAGAGTCCTACCATCACAGCAGAAGCCACAGCTGTGGCAGCATGACAGAGAACTGGAGGGCGAACAAGGAGGGAGGCGAACTTCAATCCTTCTGAATAGATCCCGTCATTCATTTCCATAGTGCTGGCATCTGGCCTCACTGCACCATGGAAAAGCATGAGGCTGCAAAAAGGCACCCTTGAGGAAGCAAAGAAGGCACCCTGGGGGCCATGGCACCCCGGTTGAGGAAGGCTGCTGTAGCCTGTAAGGTGATTACTTGAACTGGTAACACAGAGGAGTATAGTTTTCGATTAAACATCATGTAAGTTTGTGCCACTGGATATACTTGTTAATTGATTGTTAGTTGTTTGCGTTGCTGATATACTGTTCTTATTCTCTTCAGGCCAATGCAGAGCTTGGTTGGATTTGGGAGGTGGGTCAGAGGATCTGGCAAAGAGATTTTCCTGGAATATATGCCTCCATAGCTGCCCATCAGTGGTCTGAAAACATATTGCCCATCATGGAGGCAGTAAGAGGTAAGGTTCCTTTTCAGCTGGAGGGAAAGTCTCCAACGTCTTTGGTGAAATGTCCATAGATTGATGGCAGTCTGAGGTCACTTTTTTGTCTTCTGTTTATTGAATACATTTACCACTGTACCTGAAATGGATCATAGCCAAAGCATTTGATTTGTTTCAAAGCAGATCTCCAGATAAAAGGCTACATATGTTACTGAAAAGCATATTTTTAAATTATTTTACTAGGCAAAGAATTTAAAATTAATTTCAACCAGCCTTGTAATCAAGGCACCCCTGCCAGACAACACAGCCAGGTCTGAGGCCTCACTTTACTGTATTGAAGTAATACAGGTTTGTTTATAACCAGCACCAGTTTAAGTGTCTGTATGTAGCAAAACTCCCCTCCGCAGGGGAGAACGGACACAGTTCTGGTTATAGCACTAGGCAATATGAGCGATTTTTAAAATATTTTTTAACACGAGGTGAAAGGATTTTATACCATGTGAGTTTTTCTTGTATACACTCACTGGCCACTTTATTGGGTACACCTTGCTAGTACCAGGTTGGTCCCCCTCTTGTCTTCAGAACTGCCTTAATTCTTTGTGGCATAGTCAACATGGTGCTGGAAACATTCCTTAGAGCAGGGGTGCCCACAAGGTCGATCGCGATCTACCAGTCGATCGCGTAGCGATCACTGGTAGATCGCCATGTCCTCTCCTCCCACCGCTTCTTTGGATCCCCGCTGCTCTCCCCAGCGGGGATCCGAGAAGAAGTGAAGGAACCGGCGCCGGGGGAGGGCGGAGGACAGAGCCGCTGTCACTAACTAATGCAGAGCAGTGAGGAGAGAGACGCTCGGCCAGGATCTGACAGCCGGCGCCTCTCTCTCCCCTCACTGCTCATCCGTTCTGTCACAGCGGCTCCGCCCCCCCCCCGCGGCTCGGGATCCAGAGAAGTTGCAGCCCCCCTGTGCGTGGACGAGCGGCAGAGGATCGGTACATGTCACTAGTATGTACCAATCCTCTGTGTAGGACAAACACTGGAGCGATCGGCTGATCACTCCAGTGTTTGTAAATAACTGGGGACACATAGTACTATGTGTCCCCAGTTATAAATGAATGAACAGGAGGTGATTTACATCACCTCCTGTTCATTCATAAGTTTCTCAATGGGGAGAAGCACTCTGTACAGAGGCTCCTCCCCATTCAGAAACAGCTTGATAGTAAAATATTTTCTTAATGAATGGGAAGCCTCTGTGCTTTCCATTCATTTAGAATAGAGGCTGCAGAAAAAGAGTTAAAAAAATAATAATTATGAAAATGTAAAATAAATAAAAATAAATAATGAAAATAAAATAAAAAATAGTAAAAAATAAATTTAAAAAACTTTGTTTTTTTTCCTTGCCTCAGGCGCAAAAGGAGCTGGCTACGGCTATGCTCCCGTGGTGCTCGTGCGGCTGCCGGCTGAATGTGTCAGACGCTGCAGATGGAAAGGTGCAGGACACCCCATGTGCAATGTCGGCCACACGAGCACCACGGGAGGACAGGACGCCGGGACCTGTAATGTACTGGAATGCACTGAAATGTAAGCAGGCCGTCTCTCTGCGTTCCGGTGCGGGAGGGGGTGTGGAACTGTATTGAAGTCAATGGCATCGCCCACAGTGCGTTCGCCCGCACTCGGAACACAGGCACATTAGTGCCTGCATTCCGGTCCAGTGCAATCTGCAAAAATAGTGCTCGCAGCATTTTTGCGGATCGCACTGGACTGGAACACAGGCACTAATGCAGGCGATCGCACTGTGGGCGAGGGGCCTGCCTGCGCAGCCCACGCCCCCTTCCGCCCCTGAATGCAGGTGTTTTTTCGTTGGTAGATCTCAATGAGCTTGTCATTTGAGAAGTAGATCTCCAGACGAAAAATAGTGGGCGCCCCTGCCTTGGAGAGTTTGATACATATTGACATGATCACATCACATAGCTGCTGCAGATGTGTTGGCTGCACATCCATGATGCGAATCTCCCATTCCACCACTTCAAAAAAGGTGCTCTATTGGCTTGAGATCATTTGAGTACAGTGAACTCATTATTATGTTCAAGAAACTAGATTGAGCGTTATCATCATTGGTCGGCATCGTTACTTGGGTCGTCTGTGGCTTTAACCAGTTGACATCTGGGGTGTTAAACCCCCTTCCCATCCAGGCCATTTTTCAGTATTCAGCTCTGCGGTACTTTGACATTTATTCCGTCATGCAGCGCTGTACTGAAATTCATTTTATACCCTTTTTTGGGGACACATAGAGCAAATTAGCGGGTCTTTCCTGCCCGTGCGCGCGCGAGCAGGAAAAAAATGCCGTCTGGAGACGGCAACCCGCTGATGCGAGTCTGCCGTCCGTCCGTTTTATCTTAACGGGCGGACGGCAAGAGGTTAAACAAGCTCAATTGGTACTAAGGGGCCCTAAGCATGGCATGAAAATATCCCTATCAGCTTTAACCTGTCTGGCCATTCTCCTCTGGCATTACCAAGGCATATTCACACAGAGAACTGCCACTCACTGGATATTTCCCCTTTTTCAGACCATTCTCTGTATGGAGATGGTTGTGCGTGAAAATCCCAGTAGATCAGCAGTTTCTGAAATACTCAGACCAGCCCGCCTGGCACCAACAACCATGCTACGTTCAAAGCCACTTTAATCGCCTTTCTTCCCCATTCTGATGCTCGGTTTGAACTTTAGTCTTGACCATGTCTACGTGGCTAAATGCTGCCATGTGATTGGCTGTTTAGATATTTGCGTTATCAAGCAGTTGAACAAGTGTAAGCTAACAAAAGTGGCCAGTGAGTGTATGCAGCTGAGCTTGAATGTGTCATTTGACCAATGGAGGTAGAGTAAACAGAAGGTGATTTTGGTTCCATAAGAGGTTCACATTAAATGACTGAAGGTGGAACAAGCAGGACGAGGTGGTGAATGAGAAATATTCCTGGTGGAGATTTAAATAGTGCAGTAACATGGTTGCTGTGGAGAAAGGAGCACCGAGACAAGCCAGGACATGTCTGCTGCTTCTCTCCATTGTAGATGCATACAGTAGTAGGTGAGGTTGAATAAAGACACCGGTCCAAACATGGGCCAGATGAGAGAGCCCTTTTATTAGAGGTAGCACAGAGATGTTTATATTGAGAACACAAGAGGATTACAACGAGATGCGAGGTGGGAGCGAACTTTTAAAGGAATTTTTGTATATGGACACTATATTGTTTAAAAGTCACAAATGAATGTTTGCAATATTTAACTTCAGTATGCATTCGGGTGTATATACACACAAGAAGACAGGACATATTAGGGTATATATTTATTTTAATTCAGTTTATTCAGGTAAAATGAGCACTGGGCATATTGAAACCACTATTTGTTAGCTGCACAGATGAAAGCACAGCTGGTAGGCGGGGGCTTAGTTTGGGAGTTTAATTAGGCAGTTTAGCATGGAGTCGCATCTAATATTATGTTCACTGTTGGCCTGGCACATTGTGCAAAGCAATAGAGCCCTATGTGGCTTGGATTACTGACCTTTCTCATGTTCGTGCAGCTGTGCTAAGCATTACAGGAAGCTAAAACATAGCACAGTAGATCTTTCTAAGAAGCTATTCACGTCTCATTCCATCACTTTTCTAAAAAAAAGTGATCTTTTCTCATTTCAGAATAGTGGGTGGATCCTTTAAGCTCCATGGCCCACCATGCATCTAGAACTGCTGGTGTATAGCACAGATGCAGTCTAATATTATAGAACCATTTATTCCAAACTGCACACAGCTGTTTTAGGCTTATTGACGGTCATTAATGCAATGTATGGAAACCATGGCTTCTATAGGGAAGGGTTCAGGGACCAATGAAGAAGTATAACCCGAAGGGTATACTAAGGCACTAAAGGAACCAAAAATCCTCCAATAAACCAGTGTGTAATTCAGCAGAGCTTTGGAAAGGAAAGAATTCGCACATCTCTAGAGCTGCAACAGCTAATGGAAGAAATCGCTGATGATGATCGATGGACGACGGCGATGACCGATTAATTCCTTTAGGGCCCATTTACACTATGTTCGTTGGGCTGTATTTCTTATCACAGACTCCATGCAATGACGAGCTTAAATCTATTGTTTCCAATTAGCCCAGTCAGCACTTAATAAACGCAATGAACATGAGTGAATCCAGCCCAGTGCCTCATGGTCAGAATTGCTGGCGTTTAGTGAACTGCTGTTATTTCAAACGGATACTTCTGTTTCAGGCTAGTTAACCACCATCCGTTCATTGTACAGGAGCAATGGCCCCTATGGCACAGTGGAAGTCTTTTGGTTTCCTTTAGTCCTTTCTCAACATAATTTTCCCCAGTCATCTTCCAGGACAGCCCATGAGAGAAGGCTCTGCCTGCCTGCAACAAGAAACAGATCAACCACATTAAATAAAAAGACTCCTTCCATTCCAATTCAGTTTTTTTGTGTTTCCTCCGGCTACACAGGGACATCGTAATGTTTGTTATTTTGGGGCTCATTGTGTGTTGTTGCCTTAGGGCAGAGCCTAACCGTGCATGCGCTGGGACTACTCCGGGTATTGCCTGCTGCAGCGCATACAGGGTTTTGTCCTTATCGGACCCCCATCCGAGTGGCCAAGGTTCCCCTCCGTCGCTCAGGGAGGGAAACCATCCTCCTGACGTGTGTGGCTCCAGATGGAGGCCCCCCCGGTGTGCAGTGTGGTGGGGTGAGTGGCGGCGGAGCACCCCCTTGTGATTGTGTTGCCAAGTTGGGGAACCGCTGTGGCATGCTGGCAGGTGCTTGGGCAGGGGTAAGGTGCTTACCTTGAAGTTGTTCCCTCCCTATGGGCCATCTTGGACTCCTTTGTTTGCTGTTACCCGGAGCGAACACCGCGTGGTGTCTCGCGCGGGAAGGTGTCAGCATCGCCGGCTCACTGGTGGTGTTGCAGGACTCGGAAATGGGCGGTAGCAGCATCACGGTGAGGGCGGAAGTGAGGCGATGGGAGCGCGTGACGCGCTTCACGTGCGCCGGCTCGGGCCAGATCTCCACACGCGCCGGTTGTTGGGTGCATAAAAGGAGCTGGTCAGTATGAGCGGATCCTCTGGGGAGTAAGGCTGCCACATTCAAACGCCACTCGGCCACGACTATAAAGCTGCACACCTCGAGACGACGGGGCCACATACGGCCGGTGGGGGCGTCAGGAGCGGGCCGTTAGCGTGGTCGGCAGTAGGGGCAAGGATGCCTGCGGATGCCGGACCGTGTGCTGTCTCCAGAGATTTGGGAGATCATAGTACTGGTAGGCGAGTTTTTTTGTGGAGAATCTCCCCTATCCTTACCCCGCTTGTATTGGGGGGCCTGTTACACAGGACAAGCTGGGGGGTGTTTCTTTTATTAAGACTTTGCTTGCATGTTGGGTGGAGTACTGGCTGACGGCTTCCTTCTGTCTTATGCAGGTCAAGGCCACGGAGGATAAGCCAGCGGCTCTCGCCCAAAAGGGAAGAAGTGTGCTTCTTGCAATGTCAAAATGTCACCTTCATGGTCCAAACCCTTATGCAAAGTTTGTTTAGAGAAAGTGGTGGCCACAGAATCTGCTGGGATGTTCAAGGGTCTGATAGATTCTATGAGAGATGAAATGGTTACCACGTTTCAGTCTTTCAGGTCTGTGTTACAGAGCCCAGTGGGTTCATTAGTAGACACCAGTTTACCCGGTACATCGGGGGAAGGTAGCTCCATGGGCTATGCAGAAAGCTGCGTAAGCAAGCATGCGCCCAGTGAATCCTCAGGCTCTCAAGTGGAGTCGGAGGATCTGGAGTTGGAAAGAGAGTTACATAGCAGCAGAGCTACAAAATTCCTATTTCCTTCATTTGAGACAGGTGAGCTTCTAAAAGCCATATGGGATACTTTAGGTATCAAAGAAGAGTCGGCTGAGCTGTCAGTGCATGATAAGCTTTACAAAGGGCTCCAAACTAAGAGAGGGCGTACCTCCCCGGTCCACAAATCACTCTCGGATTTGATCCAAGAGGAGTGGAAGCACCCAGAGGAAAGGAGGCTTTTCTCGGCGGGGCACAAGCGCAGGTTCCCATTTGCAGAGGAGGACTCAGGCCTGTGGGAGAAATGCCCAAGACGTGATGACTCCTTATCAAAAGTTGCAGAAAAGACTGATTTATCATTTGAGCATATGGGAGCGTTGAAGGACCCGATGGATAGGAAAGCGAAGGCTTTGCTCAGGAAGGGATGGGAATCGGCGGGCGCAGGGTTTAAACCAGGGCTGGCGATTACATGCGTGGCTAGAACTTTAGGTGTGTGGCTGAATCAGCTACAGGTGCACTTGGAGTCTGGTACGGATCGAGACCAGTTGCTGGGTTCCCTCCCCGTACTGAGTAAGGCAGCCGCTTACATTGCAGATGCCTCGGCTGAGGCGGTCAGGTACTCGGCTCAAACCACGGTGCTAATCAACTCCTCCAGGAGGGCATTGTGGCTCAAAACTTGGGCAGGAGATGCTGCCTCCAAGGCAAAGCTATGCAAGTCACCTTCAAAGGCGACTTGCTGTTTGGCCAGGAGTTGGAAGCGGTGTTGGATAGATCAGCGGACAAGAAAAAAGGTTTTCCGCTGCCACCAAAGCAGCAGGGGAAAAAGTTTTTTCGTGGTCAGAGGAGTCAAAATTTCCATAAAGAAAAACAGGGTTTTTACGGTAAAGGACAAGACCAGTCAAAAGGGTGGGCCTTCAAAAAGGGAAAGGATAAAAGCAAATTCCTCTTTAACCCACCTCAGCAGCCCAATAAATCCCAATGACCAATTGCTCAGGGTGGGAGGAAGACTGTGGGAATTCTTCCCGCTCTGGAGGCAGCTGACCAGAAACAAGTTCATTTTGGAGCTAGTTCAGATCGGCTACAAAATAGAATTGACGGAACAGGCACCATCCAGGCTTCTGATTACTTCCCTATACTTTTTGTTGGTCCTCAAGCCCTACTCCATAGAACCATTGTATTCATACACTGCACTGATGATGGCCTAGAAAACCTAAAGTAAAAGACCTATTCAGAAACTAGTTGTATTTAAACCTGTATTTAATAATTGTTGTAGTGCATATAGGGGGATGAAATTGTTCTATATATGCTTTGAGCAATGTTAATGCAGTGCTAAACAAGAGCTCTGAAACCCCATGCTTTATAGAGTAACAGATTCTACCTTTTAGGGCTGGTTTACACCATGTCCGTTGAGTTGCATTTTTCTGCACATCACTGCACATGTATGGCGTAAACAATGGTTTTCTGTGTGCACTGTTTACAACGTACATGTGCAGCGGTGTGCAGAAAAATGCAGCGTAATGGACATTGTGTAAAGAAGGCCTCAATTATTTTAGTTGTAAAATGTATATTCAATTTTGGCCACTAGATGGAGCCTCTGGCTCACAAATGAACTTGTTCATTGAAGACTAGAAAACCTATCGTTAACTGATCTAGTTTAGAATACTCCAAAATATGAACTGCAGATTAGGGTCTTTAGATGTTTGAAATGTTTGTGTATATAGAGTAGATTTTCCTATGGAATTCATTACAAATAATAATTCTTCCCATAGATAATTGGTATTAGGGTGTGTTTTTGTTCTTCTTGATCCTGCTGTGGCAGTCCACTACTTTGAAGTTCCAGCAATCTCCTACATGCTTCTTACTTTTCCTGTCAAAGCTATGGCAGGAAATCATTAAACAACACTTGATTGGGGTTGTGGTCTTTACCAACTAAAGATCAGATGTTTGTGTGTTTTTACTTGAATATTAGGAATCCCTGGGTAACTTTGTAATCTTTGTGTAGTTTAGGTGAGCAGGATCAGACAGCAGATAGCATAGGCTGTCCGCACATGGCACTTACTCTCGCATCTGTTCCCGGAGCCCCCCTTGACATGAATGTGCAAAAAATGACTTTCTGATTTCTATTGTGATATTCAAATGAAAATTTCCCTAATGACATACCTAGCCTGATGCAATGGGTGGGCGGGGGGGGGAGAGAGTTACAGGTATGCTTTCCATGACTATGAAGTGGAGAAGCTGTAGTAGTTCTCTGGGTGGCCCTTTGCAGGCATGGATGGTAAAGGTAAGTAGTCAGCTGCCTGATCCTGCTGCTTTTTGTTTATTACATCACCACCCATGGGTTTCTTCCAGAGTATTGATACATTGATGCCACACATCACCCTCTAGTTTTTCCTCTCTATATCTAATCTATCTTTCAGATGTGGGGTGAAGGGGACATTGAGATAATGCATATTCTGTAGTTATTCGCAGTGCTATTATTTTTAAGATGTTGTAAACAGGGCTGCATGAGTGCATAGAATGAAATGGGTTCTGTACTATCCACAGCAAATGTGTTATCTTTTCCCATTTCAGATGAAACACGGCAGCGAGCCTTTGGACTTGTATCTCAAGCTTATACATCAATTTCTGCTGATGATTTAGCAGCATTTGTTGGACTTTCTGTTGAAGACGCTGTAAAAGGTGGGTTATGATTAACAAAAGACCAAGAGCATGAAGGACCATTTTTGTCAGACCAATCTATTAAACATTCCATGAGGAAGTCCGTATTCATTTAGACAAAGTAATACGAGTAGATATGGTGTATCTGGACCTTGCTAAAGCATTTGATATAGTACCCCACAAACATTCAATTCACAAACTTTTTTCTGTTTTGACATGTTTATCTCAAATCATTTTCAGCTGAGACACGACCAGTTCTCGCTTCCATATGTGTGTAGGCTCTAGGAAATGCCCATTCCACAGCTTTCTAGCTTTCAAGCTCTGGGATCATTCCTCTCTAATGTATGTGACTCCCATCTAGGGATGTCATCACTACAGTAAATGGCACCTAAATATCTCTTCCACACATACTAATTATTCTGAGGACATTTGTTTGTGTTATGTACAGAAAAAATAAAAATATGACTTTTGTGTTTTGTAAGTGGTT